CGCTCTACGTCCATCCGGCTTATTTTCCAACAGGGGTTTAGGAACTCTGCAATCATCCATGCGGGCAACATGTCCTGCCCAGCGCAGTCGTCCAATTTTGATGATCTTGGTGATGTTTGGCTCTTTATACCTTTGGTACAGCTGGTGGTTGTATCATAATCGCCGTTGATCACCAATGAAAAAAGCTACATTACAACTACAATATTAACATAGGCTATCTTTTTTGTTATTTATTAATTTCACGCGGGCGAAGTCGCGTTCATAAAATTCATAGAGGGACTGTGTGTAAATTCGTTATAAGTAATTTAAAGAGAAAGGCCTTTCAGTGACCTTTTAACGTTTCGCTGTAAGACTAGTAAATTGTTACAAAAATTACTAGCTTCTGCTCACGACTTCATCCGCGTGGAATTGAAAAAATACAAAAGCAAGTAGCCTTTGTTCATCCAGACTACGTTCTACTCCTGTGATAAAAATCCAGATCCGTTCAGCCGTTTAGGCTATAAACTCTAACAAATATCCATCCATCTAAACTTTCAAATTTATAATATTAGTATGATTTCCTTCTTTCCAGAACGAATGGTTAGTCGATTCCCAACGAGAAATCCCGTTGGAAGCATCACAGAACATCTCTCTGCCTGACCTCACTCTAGCCGACGGTCAAATAGCTGTCTGCGAGGACATCGTCTGGGTATCGTAAAGGAGGATCTATTGAGAATGCGGGTGATTTTTTTTGTGTTGCCAACTTTTAGAAAAAAAAACTATAACTGTCATTCAGCCAGTCATGTCAGATGAGTTTCGATTTAACCTCATATTTGAATTAATTCTTAATATTTCTCCTTTTATTTAGTGTTTTACTATACTAGTTTCAATCTTAGTTAGGATTATTTCCAATTGACTTTTAGTAACGCATGGTGGTGTTGCTATTTGAAATTAATTTAAAACCTAAGTGTGTCTTTTTTTTGGTTTTCGGATTTTACTTTTACACTAAAAATAAATAGCGATGTAATTCCCGAGTTGTGAATATCTAGAGTTAAATTTTAGTAACTTAGAAAATTTGCAATTAAAAAGGGCCTAACTAATGTGTTCATATTTCGTTTGTTTGTTTTAATATTTTCAGTGTTATTGTCAAATATTTCTGTTTTAATGTTAACAATATTATTACCGTTAGGTTAGGTATCTTTTTCACTGTTTATTTTAAACACAGAGTGTTTTATCATATTCATTAATGTTTGTGTCTTACTTTGACTTATTCTCTATAGTCAAAGTTGTTTAGGTCAATAATATTATGATTATTTTCTACACAGATCATACGCGGCATAGAATGTGTTCATTAAATGTAGATTATAAATATTTTAACGTGTTCAATTAGGTAAATAATGTAAACGCAATAACCATTATTTAATAAGTTTTTTTTTAATATTTGTAACCATCTATATCCTAATAACATCGCATAATAAAGTGTTTAAAAAATGCTCTAAAGTATTTAATCTATGGACAACACTGACAGGAATATTGACATAATCTATGACATTTAGCAGAAGTGTTGTTTTACTTTTTAGTTTTTTTTTAACGTGAAATAATTCCAGGAGGAGGACATCCCAGGGACAGTGCTATGACAACAGAAAGCTAAGTTTTAAATAATTATGTTGTGGCCTTAGCCCCATCACCGCATTGTCACCATCACCCGCTACCTTACCAATCATTCTGCTTATCACCAGCATTAACCGAAACTCGCTGTCAAAATGTATGCTGCGAATTTCCGAACGTGTAACTGTCAAATGTCATACCAAAGAGGTTGTTTTTTTTGTAAATAAACTTTTTTGTTTTATTTTATGTCTTTTCTTTCAATTATTTTGTAATTAACGATATTTTTATTTAAATCCAAATTAAAAATGTATTGATTAACGTTAGTGGTATAAAAGGAAGTTTGTTTTAATTTTTTTTAATTAACATTTAAAGTTGATATTACTTGAAATACTTATGTTTTTTATATGTATTTATTTTACAAAAGCTTATTTGAATTAGTTTATTTAAAAATATTGTTTTTTAACTATGAAATCGAATTTTAACATCGTTTGTTTTGAGTTATGTATTTATGAATTGAAAGTATTAAGGATATAAATGTTTTATCTTTAGCAAATGTTCTGAGTACTAAATATAGTAAAATTGATGTTAAACCTGTATACCTAATATAAGCAATAATATTCATATAAATATATAGGAATTTTCTCAATCTATGTCTATTTTTTATCTGTGGAAAATGTAGTCGAATTTATTTCAACATGGACATTTATATAACGAAATAACTTTAGTGGAAAATCTCTTATCTGTTACGGACTAAAAGCTTTCATATTAATTTAAACGCGTAAAATTAAAAAATAGAACACAATATCACAATTTTCTTCGCATACAATTAGTTTGTACACGAATTATATAAGTATTTTTGTTATACATATCACGCACTGCGCAAAATTTTTTGCGTAAATCATATCATACTGTTCTGTGTTTAAATTAGCTTTCAGATCAGAATTGTTATTGTTATGAACAATTGATTAGTAAAGCTTGAAAGTCTATGGAGCACTGCCTTACATAATAAGTAAATTTATTTTTCGTCAAGTCTGTTTTAAAGGCCCGTTCACATAAACCAGAGTATTGAGAGCAGATTTTTATTTCGAATAATTGAGATTTAATTTTACTAGACAAGTCTTTATTAATCTTACTCTTGATAAGAAAAATCGTGGAAAGTGAAATTAAATCAAAATTCTAATGATTTTCAATTTTATTTGAGATAAAAAATTGACTCTGCTCTACGCTCTGGTATGTTTGAACACCTCACGCGTATCGAGACGTCCGCGCTGTTCGACGTCTAGCGATAAAGTGACAATCAGATAAAATTTGGTGGCAGCTATTTTATAAATACCCATATTGAATTGCGTGGGTGAATCGCGAGCTTTTTATAAGATCTTTACAGAATTACATTTGTGATAAACGTTACAGAAGCGATATCCAATTTTTGAATACAAAAGTTTAAAATATTCACTACCTCCTATATTATATACATTGAGTTACGTTATATCAGATTTTATTATTGTTATATATTAGTTATCTTTTTAAAATATTTATTTCATAAATTGGATCATCTGCGAAAATATTAACATCGAAATTCTAACTATTTTCTGTAAAATGCCTATCAAAATGAGGACAATGGTCAATTTTAAATGTAATTTCCCGCCAAAATTATAATTTTAAAAACGTCAGTAGATTAAAAAATAGTCAACAGTAACAATTGAATGTATTTTTAATCTGTTTTGGGTCCAAAATGACCATTGTCCTTTTTAGCTTTTATTCATACTTCCTCTGAATAAAATTTCGTCTTAATCTGGATTAATGTTAGAGTTGAAATGGCTTTTTATATACATGATGCATGTAGAGTGAATTTCTAGTAGGGAATAGGGGCTGCAATGTTTTGTTGAAAATATGTCACGTTTTTTCGAATTTTTGTATCACCCTGTTTAAAAACCTTATATTTTTGATTTATCTTTAGTCGACTGAGCGTTGCAGCCATTTTGTATTGACTCAAGTGTAGCTTGTATGACGTCACAATAAATATTATGATATAATGTAATATTAGTTACTTGTTATATACGGTATGTACTGTGGCTCTTATTGTTTGACACACGTTTACCGGAATAATGCTGATATTGAAATACATGTTCTTTAAAATATAATATCTTCGTATATGATGTGATGTTTTTTTACCTTTTATCCTTTACACGCACAACTTTGATAAAACTATCGCAAACTAAACAGATGGTTTAGTCCCGCTTTGATTCCTATGAGGTGTACTACTCGATTTTCTTGTGCAAATAAACAGTTGAATTAGCTGCGAAACAATCGACAATCGCTAACAGTTGTGCGATAGTTTAGTCGAAGATGTGTACCCGCTCTAAACATATAATGCATAACAAAATTTTCACAAATGAAAACACCGATGCAGTGGATATCGTAAATATACTCAAATCAATACTGGAAGAAAGTGCTTCTAAAAGCTCGTAATAAACTGGATATAAACATGAAGTAAAAAAAAAACGATAAATACTTTTCCCAGTTTTAATTATTTATTAAGATGTAGTAAGCCAGATGGCATAGATGGCGCTTTTTTAAAATGGGAATATTTAAATTCAACTCTTTTTCACTTAAATACAAAAAATCTTATTCAAGACACTTAAAAAAAAAATTACAAAAATTTAAAATTCATATTTAGTGATATTGATCTTTTATATCAACAAATTTTGAAATACAGTACAATTTATTTCTTAAATTTTCCTACTCGACATTAGATGGCGCTAGTCGTACCACGTTTAAGATAAAAATAAAAAGAAATGGGAATGATCTCAATCTATGAGGTGAATTTTGTTTTTGAAAAAACGGTAATGACGAACTTTAACAATTTTTTTAAATTCTTTAGTACATATTTCTAGCTTATAGCAAATAGAAATTAATTCAAACTCTACTAAATCATTATGGAACACATCATGAACACTTTATATTAATAAATTCGCTAAATTCTCGTTTCATTTGGATCATTTGCGAAATATTTCTTTGTTCAAAATACAATTACTAGTTATTTAATAACATAACAAGAAAAACATCAGGTGTTAATATAGGGTCATTAAATTGTACACATTGCCAAAACAGACAATTATAAAAGTACGTTATACAATTAGCATGTTTTGGAACATTTCGCGGCAGTTATCAAGTACTCTGACTAGTGTGAGACCCTCTGACACTACGTAAGGATGAGGTTACGGTACTGAGCGGGTAGCGGTTTGAAAGTTTAATTAATGTTTTGGTACATTTGTATTTTATTACTTTGTGTATATTGACATCAAATAAATGAAACCGTTAATTAAAAAATTGGAAGAACTTTCATTAGTAGTTAATAAGTTAATATCAAAGTGAAATAAGCTAAAACCTTATTTAAAAATCCGAAACTTTGAATTCCTTAGCAAAAAGATTTTTTATTACTACTGTTGTTATTTTTTTTATTTTTGCCAATCAAATTTGATATGATTTGTACTTATACAATTAACCAACCAATTTAATTATTTACCGTATATAAGGCATATTCATTTGAAGAACGTGTTAGATGTAAATTTCTCGTAATACGTGAATCTCTATCGCTTATCACAATGTACACATTACTACAGTCAACTGGCGGAAGTGAGAACGCGAACGGAAGCAGGTGCGTATGACTTCCTGCGCACACGCACATACCCCACTGTAAATTAATATTTAAACAGGACTAAATAATTCATTATAATATTAAAAAAAAAGAAAAATTAACTGTATTTACCACAAAATCATCCGCATCGAATTTAAAAAAACAAAAGTAAGTAGCCTATATGTTCTTCTAGACTATCCTCTACATCTATGCCAAATATCATCGAGATCTGTTTACCTGTTTGGGCTACAATCTCTAACAAACGCTCATCTAAACATTCGCGTTAACAATACAATAGAACCTCGATAACTCAAACCTCAGTAACATAAAAACCTCTATAACTTAAAAAAATAATATGTTCCCTTCCCATCAGAGCCTAAAACGACTAAAACATAGACCCTTGATAACTTAAAACCTCTATAACTTAAAATATTTTGAGTTTCCCTTGGACTTTAACTTATCAAGGTTATTGGAAGCCACAGAAATTGACGTAAAAATCAAGTGAAAAAAAGAGATGAAAAGAGAGTGGGCCTTCAAGTTTTCTTGACCAAAAAGCGTATTCCTCTATCCAATGTGTTTATATTAAGACGATGGCATACATTTTTTGAAATTTAAAAAAAAAATAATAGCTCAGCATAAAAATTCAAAGAATTCTTAAAGAAACTGACCATTGGGTTGGGTATAAAAGCGGTCAGAATACAACCGAAACCTGTTATTATGCAATTCGAAATTAACGACCCCTCAAAATGTACGGGAATAACAAAAAAATCTCTGTAATCGCTTTTTAATCCGCTAGCTTAAGTTAAATGTAATCACGGTAAGGACACTGCATTTGATACTAAAAATAATGTATAAAAATATTCCTTTATGAATATCCAAATAATTATGCAATATACCATAGTATTTTATTTATTTTAACAAATGAAATTCAATTACATTGAACATAATTCAGTACCAGCAGACTCTATTCACCAAATTGTTTTATAAAACACTGTTACGAGTATCGAATGCCATTACATTAACGGGAGTTCTACATTTATCCTGGTGAGTTTAGTATCGCCTGAGGCGTCGCTGGCAGACCAATTAGACTAACCATAGCTATATGCTTTTAGACTAGGCCTTGGAACATAACTGGATTGAAATGTTAGTCCATTCTATACAACACCTTTAACCCAGATCTGCAGAGATTACAGATTTATGGCGCGGTCCTTACCTCTCTTGCATTCCACATTCGGACATCTTTGCATACTTCTCGCTTTTAGGGCAGATTGTACACAATTTTAATTAGCTGTACCGACGCCTATGGTCATCGTAATACCAGAACTAGATGTAATATTAAAATGCTAAGGGTCTGTGACACCAAATTGTCTGATAAAAATCTAACGTGTAAAATGTGTCATGGAAATATTGGATTTTGTTCCTATTTCTGACAGTGACGTCACTTTTAAGCTATCTGAGCCTCTATCAGCTAGTGGTGGGACAGGCCCTTAGTAAGATAGTTAAGTATAAGTTGACATCATCGCCTAGTATAACTGCAACATGCTAGCAGGAACATTTAATCAACTCGTACCACACACACTATCATTAGTATACGCTACCAGC